TCAACTTTAATGATAATTGCTCGCTGGATTACACGGGTCGACTTTCTAGTAGATTTTTGTCGTTCAACCAAAATCGACCCGTGTAAATTACATCTCAACCGTAAAATGTAAATGCTTTGGCTAGTCGATTTTCCAGTCTACAGGAATCGACCCTTGTAAAGACAGATTTAGCCCCTTATTTAGTCCCAGAATACAGTGATACGAGGAGAAATGTGGTGTAGTGGTAAGCAGTGCGGGCTTCCACTCCGCAGCGCCTGGGTTCAAGCCCTGGCCAAAGCAACATCGCAAAAAATTTAGAAAAAAGGTTTTTTCTTAACAGCGGTCGCACCTCGGTAGGCAATCGGAAACCTCCGAGTGTATTTTTGCTATGAAGAACAGCTTCTCATAAGAATACAATCGCCGTTTGGAGTCGGCGTAAAACTGTAGGTCCCTCAGCTTTGTGTGAAAACATCCAGGCGCACGCCACAAATCGGAGGAGAGGCTCAGCCGAACACTAACATATGTGTAAGCGCCAATCTATTATTATTATTATTAATTTGCCTTTCATGTACGTATATAATTTATATGATTTTTATATTTTTAGTCCGAAATACTAAAAAACACAAAAAATATAAATATATTTTTTTAAATGGCTTTTATATAAAATTAGTTTTACAACTGGTTGTAGAATACCCGTCGCATAAAAGCTATTTAAATTATGTTGAAAATAGCATCGATAATTTTTTAATCGGTTAAGTAGTTTCCGAGGTATTAAACACATAAGAAATAGAAAAGATGAACTTTAACCTCTTTAATAGGCTTTGGTTTTTATTTGTACCAAATAATTTTGGTATGGTTGAAATCAGCGTAAAAAGTTCTATCGATCCTCATTTCTTGTTATTTATAGCTAAACGGTTGGTGTTCTAGACTACTATGTGTGTGTGCTAAATCCTGTTGTACGGGAACAGACTAAATGAGAATAAGAAAAAGTAAACAAAAAATGTTAAATTAAACTCTGAGTTTCTTAAACATCCCAATGTGATTACTTGACAGTTGTTCATAAACTCAAAAAACTCGAGTTAAAGGCTCAATGAGAACGCTTTATTAGACAGAAATCAAAAAAAGTTACACTTTCAAAACGTTACTGGCACGTTGTTTGCGCAACCGGTTTATTTCTTAAGTTTAAAGTGGTTTTTTTTATAAAGTTCGAGTAATTAAAGAAAAATGTTTAATGAAAAACAAAAATATAAGTGAGAACCTTTGTCCTAATTAAAAAAGTGACTTTTTATCATTTGTTTGCAAAACACACTGACTTATTTGCATAACCTCAAACATTTTTTGATTTATTTCCATATATGATTTTATGTATGCTTTTACAATTTTGCTAACTTTCGGCAAACAAAATGGAAATGGATAAATTGGGATGTAATGAGTTGATTTTATTTTACGTAAGCCGCCGTTTTTAGCCGTTTTCAGGAAAAACTGTTTTTTCTGGGCTATCATGCTATTACAAAAGGCGAGATGTTTGTAGCTTGGCTGCTTGGATGTTCAATGAAAGAAAGGCTTTATTTATCAAACAAAGACGAAAATTATTGAATTATTATCCCGATTCTTACTGGTGAAGTTGTTTTAGAAACCAAAAACCCAACTGTGTCGACCAGCAGCCGGATTTTAACTTTCGCTATCGCTAAAATATTCTATGGCTATCTCCAAAAATTGCGGCTCTGTCCTCCCTTTCGCTAAAAATAGCTTAGCCTAAATTTTAGTATTTTACTAGCAGCTGTCAAAATTTGCATTTTAATGGTGATAAATAGTGAAAATGGAAGTATGTGATAGCAAAAAAAAAAAAAACAAAAAAATCAATTTGGATTACATTTCCTCTCCTGTAGCGTAGCCATAGCTATGTTACAAAGACAATCGCGCCGATTCGCAAAGAGACTGAATTCCAAAACGTCAAAATACAAAGCATCAGTATCTTTTATTTCTAAACCTCAGTAGATTGTAATTCCAAATGTGCGCAACCAGGGTTAGATGCTAGTTTTCAACTAGGTTGCGCAAATTAGACCTTTTCTCCAAGTGCTGTTTAGAAATACACTGATGTTTTGTACTTTGACGTTTTGGAATTCACCCACTATTGATGAGCAGCCTTCGAAAAATGCAAAATCCTAGAGCTTTGGCCATTATTTTCGCAAATTAGTTTCAAAAACATTCGTATTCTTTTCAGGAAGTTACCAGCGGGTTTTGGTAAATGTGTCACAAAGCAGCATTAGCATTCAGAATATAAATAATATCGGTGGATAATTTGGGAAAAATCTTGACTGAAAGTGAAGTGTTTTATGAAGACTAACTCCTTTAGGGATCTCTCCTCAAGGCATATCTGCAAGACGTGTAGTAATTTTTTTTTTTTTAATTAAGGGATTTCGATAATGCCATAATTAATCCCTAGAAGGAATCATTTACGTACATATAACCATACTTATTTTATTGCGTAGCTCGTTTTAAGAGGGAGGGGGTTGAGTATGATAAGAAAATAACTTGATTCAAAACCAAGCAAATTGGACAATGTTTTCGAGAACTACTTGAACACATAAACTCATCAATTGAACATAAAAAAGTCTGTTTACGAAAGCCAAGTCATGTTTTTACATTTTATTTACTGACTTTACACTTTTTCTTAACGGTTTCCACCCTTTTACATTAAAATGATGCTATATTTTAGCTGCTATTAATTTCGCACAGAAAAATTAATCATTAGACCTAATGTGCGCTGCAAGTGCAGGGCATAGAGAAGCAGCGCATGTGAAGCAGTGGTGTAATTATACTCGGCATAGAGCGCATAGTCTTCCAGAATCAGCTGTTCAGTGTAATCAGTTAGTCTGTTCCAGTACTCCAGGATTTAGTTAGGAAGACATAACTGAAGAATACATATTCATAGCCTAAAAGAAAGTCGACACTACAGTTAGTTGCTGATTTTTGTTATAATTTTCAATGAAATGGCGGCAACAAACTTTATAATCGACCTTGCTTCGACTATAAATATGCCCCAATATGTACAATAACGACTTCTCAGTAATTGCTGTAAATCTGGTGCGTACTAGAGAGTGGCATCCCTATTTGAAAATGTCACATAGCGAAAAATCAAAATTCACCAGACCTGTAATGCGCTGCGGCGGATAATTCCTTGTATGCAAACCTCATTAAACAGGTTCGCTATGTGACAGTACTCAAAATGGACTTGGCACCTTTTAACCTTTAGGTAGCGATATATGTTACGCCGATATAACTCTGAATGACTAAAATGTGTGTAGTCGAAAGGCAAATCAACACGATATGCACGAAATATTTTGATATACACTTGTGATCAGCTAATTAAGCCAGCACCATTTTGATCAATTTTGGCTATTTTTTTTTGTTTACTTAATGTTTATTATTTTTTCCATAAAATTCCAGCTCATTGTAGAACAAACACCACATAAATCCAGATTTCAAACTTTGTGCAAAAATTATGAAAAAGCTGCAAAGTTTCAGCTAGATTTTCAACTTTTTATTCAGATTTTTTTGAGTATTCACTTTAATAGCCCATTAAATTCTAGGGTAACATGTGCAAGTCTTAAGTTGCTAAAAAATCGCGTTGATTTTTAATATTTTTTTCTGACTTCATGACGCATTTTTTTTATACAAAAAAAATTCTCGAATTTATTTTGTATGGAATAAAATTTGTAATGCTGTCAGAAAAAATTATTAAAAATCAACGCAATTCTTAGCAACTTAAGACTTGCACATTATTACCTTAGAATTTAATGGGTTACTAAACTGCATACTCAAAAAAATTCTTAAAAATCTGAATAAACAGTTGAAAATTTAGCTGCAACTTTGCAGATTTTTCACAATTTTTGCACAAAGTTTGAGATCTGGATTTATATTGTTTTTGTTATATAATGAGCTAGACTTTTATGGAAAAATAATAAACATTAAATAAACAAAAGCAAAATAGCCAAAATTTATCAAAATGTTGCTGGCTTAATTAGCTGATCACAAGTGTACATACATACATAGTTTGCCTAATAATGGGAAACGAATCTATCAACTCAGAGAAGCGGGTGTCGTCGCTGTCTCACTCACCACTTTTGGGAAAATTAAGATTTTCTGTGTAAATTATATAATTAAGTTTTGTACTTTATTATTTTCGTGTTGAACTGATATCTGAATTCACCCTGCAGGGAAAGCTACTAGTTGTGAACTAGAATTCTACCAGTTTGCGTTTCAGCTCAACTAGTTCATGTTCTATCCTTTTTCAATGTTAGCGACTGGTATTTTTAACATTGCGATGTCCTACGAGATGTCAATTGTCAGGCTATGCATCAGCATCTACTAGTATAAATACTAGTAGCACCATACCAGTTGATGAGGTAGTCTGCCAATTCATGCCCCGTGAAAAGCATTAGTGTGCCTTTTTGCTCGCGACGCTCCAGCAGTCACAATGGCCGACAGAGCAAAGCGCTCGCGTGGTAAGCCTGAGGTCCCAGGTTCAAATCCTGGCGCAGGGAAAATTTTCTATTATTTTCTATTTTTTATTTTATTTTTATTTTTAATAAATTTATTTTTTTGTTTAGGCTGTTTATTGTAATTTTTAAATTTAATAAAAAAATATTTTTGTTTAATTTCTTTGTTTTTTATAGCACAAGCATTTCTTCCTAAATGTTTTTTTTTTAAATGCAATTAGATTTTCAAATTTGTTATTTATTTATAAATTGAATAAATTATTTTTACTTACATTTATTTAACTTTAAAAATCTTAACCACCTCCAAGCGGCCTCGAACCTGCGATTTCAGAACCAGAACCAGTAGTGTTCACGTGACGCCACAGCCGACATTTGTAAGAAAAGCAATTAATTGCGTTTTATTTTTGGCTTTGGCAATTCAAAGGCAGATGTCGCTGATCGCCTAAGTTCTTCGAAATTGTCGAACTGGTAGGCACATACTAGTTAATGAACTAGTATTTTTTCTAACTGGTTCGGCTTTTCACTGCAGGGCAGATGTAAACAGTTTGTAACTTGTCAAATTAAGGTTAAACAGAAATTACGTAAAGCTTGAGGAAAAACGACTTGAAATGCTCTATATATGTTTGAATGAAGAGATTGAACAGCAAATAAAAAAAAACAATTAAAATACCAAATTGTCTTTAGCTAGAAATCCCATAAAGAAACGCAAAATCCCACGCGCCCTTTTATAGTGCATTATCCCAAATTATACGCGAAATCTCGCTAGTTTGCAACACTGCAGCCAGCACGCTCATCTTTCAGGGTAGCAATACGCTATTTTGCGAGAAAGTATTGGTGTTAAATATTAAAAAATATTTTTATGTTAGTATTATAAAATATATATTATGAAAAATATTATTATACAAATTTAATATTAAAAAAAAAACTATTAAGTTGTTCCTTCATTTTTAACTTTTCGACTTAAATGCGTTTTTAGTTGCACTTTTACTTTAGTGCTGCCATTGTATGCAAAATTGTATGGAATGGAAAAAGGCATTTCTTAAAAAGCAACCCTGTGCTCGCCAATCAGCAAACCACCGAATCACCGCAATTTTTCTCTTTTGCTTGACAATTAAAATTGGTGGCATAACCACCGCCTTACACAATTAGTTTCGCACGAAAGCGAATAGTTCATTCCATATACATAGAGAGATCCAAAGTGGTATTAGCCGCATCTTCCTTTGCGATTGCTCCCGGAATCATCCCGGATTAGTCGCATATTTTGCTGGGTACATTTTAATGTGTGTGTATTATTTCGAGTGCAAATATTCAAACATGCAAATATATTTACTATTTATCATTCTTACATAAACTTTGTTACTTATTTTTTTCTATTTGAGTAGGGAAGCATTCGGACAGTCGAATATTTGCGAGATGTTTCATTTCCGCATTTACACGTAGCGCGTAACTTGCGCATAGAACTCCGAGAGACAGGCGTTCAGTTGAGCAAATATTGGTCGCTCGACCGGTAGAAGCGCCCAACAGTAGGCCATAATTGTGAAGCTGTAGAAAAATTAAGAAAAGGATTTTTCCATTAATTATTTAAAAAATTGTTTTTGAAAGCTGGAACTAATGTTGGTTTCGTTTCTAACAAAAAATGTTGCCTTTTGATTGCGCCTTTCTCTTGTCGGTTTCGATTCTTAATTAAAGGCAAAGGGTGAGAAAGTTGTGTATTCATTTCTTACAATGTCACACTCCTGTAAGGCAAAAAAAGGCACATTCTCTGCCCTGTGAAGCTTTAAACGATAATATTATGAAATTCGTGAGCTGGAAAAGGACAAGAATGCAAAAACATGCCCTTTTACAGGGTTGAGTATAACATCTAACACATTTTGCACCGGGGAAGGGGAACGTTTTTTTGAAGAAACGAAATCACCATTAACCGAGTATAGATACATTTGTATATTAGGGTACCTCGCGAATAAAAATTTCCTGTTTTCCCAAGCGAATCATAAAATTCGATACTTTGTATCATGATAAAAACATAACAAGGTAAAACCATTGAGAGGCAGTCTGACGTTTGCCAACAATATAATTTTAAAATTCAAAACTCGAACTCACACACATTCTCATTTGCCATCTCAAACAACAACAATTGTGAACAATTTAATTTTTTTATTTTCAATTTTTTATGACTATAAAATGTTGGCAATCTTCAGAAAAAAAATCATGGCCGACGAATTGAGAGAATGTATTTACCTTGTAATGTTTTTATCATGCTTTGTATGGCTCCCACAAAAATATTTTGTAAAACGTATATACAGTGACACAAACAAGTGACCACGTGCTCATTATTTTTAAATATTCCCAATGTTTTTCGAGTTAAATTTTTTTTTGTTATTTTTCTATAAAAATAACCATAACTATATAAATCGCTTTTCAAACTTTATAAAAAACTTAAGAAAATTCAACAAATTTTCTAAATTTCAACTTTTAAATCTGAATCTTTAGAACATTTTTGGGTATGCCGTTTTATAGCCCAATTTTAGTCTTATAAAGTTCAAATTTCAAACGGCTGAAAAATCCTGTTGATTTTTGAGAATTTGTTTTTGGTGACGGATTTTTGCACTTTTTTTTCATATAAGCATGTATTTTATATGAAAGAAAATGCAGCAGACCGTTCACAACAAAACTACAAAAAATCAACGGCAGTTTTTGTAAGTACCACTTGTTATTTAAAAAAAAAAAAAACTGCAAAGGCAGTCTCCAAAAAAAAATCTCAAAAATCAACGCGATTTTTTAGCCGGTTGAAAATTGCACTTTATTAGACTAAAATTGTACGGGCTATAGAACCCACTGCCACCACTGGTGTGGTGGTAAGCAGTGCGCGCTTCCACTCCGCAGCACCTGGGTTCAAACCCTGGTCAAAGCGACATCGCCAAAAAATATAGAAATAAATAAAATAAAAAAACTTTTTAATATACCACGCTTTTATAAATGGACTAAAGAGAAAAAAAAAATATTTCTCAGTCCCATAGAATTTGTTTTGATAACTTTTGATTTTGAAATTTTAGCAAAAGTCATTATAAACTTATTTTAATATTTTTATTGAGCTTTGTACCACGATTGTTTTATTAGGAAAAATTGAAAAAGCAACAAAGTCTAATCGGTAGAAGTTATAGCAGCTATATCGGAGGTCACCACATCTCCTCATCAGACTTCTTTTTTCTAGACTACAGCAGGGTCATTATAAACAATTTATGAAACGAAAAACGTAGAGCGCACGCAATACAAAGAGTTAGATTTAATTGACAACAGTCAAACTACATAATATAGACCTAAAATTTCTACAGCGCAGGTACAAAATTTGAGATCGATTTTAAGCGATCGTTATTCGTATACCCACATATGTATATTAGGGTGGTCCAAAAATGCATGTGAAAAAGTAAAGTCGGAATTTTTATGCTCTCACCTATTTTTTTATTTTGAAATCAAAATATATTTCGAGGTCGCTCAAAGCGCCCAAAGTTTTCCATGTATTTTATTAGGGGAAAAAACAACTTTTCCTAGAAATGGTATAGAATCATGGGCGTCGCGACTTAGGGGCAGGGAGGGCGGCTCCATCTATAAACCATTTCAGCCAGTGGCCACCCAACTGAAGTTCGATTGCCATATGGCTAAGTCGGCTCAGCTCGATGTTCTGGTCACATATGTACATAAGTACGCATTTTCATGAGTCTATCTCTTCTTATTCTGGTACTTACAAATATCGGACCAAAGTTATAATACCATTTCATGCTCATGAAAGGTATAGTTTTCAGATTTCAAATCGGTGAAGTAGGTAACAAAATATAACATTTTCTTAACTTCTTCCCGGCGCACACTGGGGCTTCTTCATAGAGGGCGATGCTCAAAACTCATTTTTCGAAAGTTGGTATTTAAGATAAAAAATATATACCAGCAGAGTCATAACAAAGTAGCAAATCTCGTATATAAACATTGGGTTCCGAACTATTACCAGTTGCCGCGTACAACAGCTCAAAGTTAACTTTTCAGTCAGAAAATTTGTTTTCCGATATCGAAAGCGAGTTCATATGTGTTATTAAAGTCTGTCTTATTATATTTAAGGTTACACTGGTCAACGGCCAAAATTTACCAGAGACGCCGTTATGAAATTCGTATGTAAAATCACCCCCTGATTCCGAAAATCAAGGTTATTTTTAATTTTATGGTACCGTTTTTGAGATATTTGCAATTTACCGTTTTTGCAAAAAAAAAAAAAATTGGGTCCACTTTATCATATATATCTCAAGAACGAATTAAGCAATTCCAAAACGTTTTGAAGCTTTTAAAAGGTAATAAAATTTTCTATAAGCTGTGCATACAACACTTTTTGCTAGGCCCTGCAGATTCAAAGATAACGAACAATCATTACCGATTTTTTCAATTTTTTTGTAAAAATATAAAAAGAATTGTACTTTGCGGGGAAGGATCTCAAAAACCTTTTATTTTTTTGCAGATTTTTTTTTTCTCCCAAAGCTCTGTTATATTACAAAAAAAATAAGGTATCATCGAAGAAAATCGATGCAAAACTACGTAAGTTATAAGCGATCAAATAAAAATAGCCAGGTTGCGCAATTTCAACGTATACCTCAAAACGTATGTATGGTATAAAGAAGAGTGAAATATCTAGCTATGCTCTGTTTCTATTGAGTTAAAAGTTCAATTTATGAATGAAATTACCCATATTTTTAACTTTTTTTTAAATTTATTTATGTTTATACTATATTCTAACAATCTTTATCTTAATTTGATTTTACTATGTTGTCGAAATAATTATGTGTTCTACTTTGACGCTTATTCAGTTTAGGATAGGTTTCTCTTATGAGAAACCAGCAGTAATCACCCATCATTGCGACGTCCCAGAATCCTTAATATCGATTCTCAATTAATTTCATTTGCTGATGAAACCTTTCGCCATGTTCATCACTTTCGTCGCCAAGATTTGCCGGAAAAAAGCTCAAATGTGAGTGGAGAAAGTGAATTTTTAAAGACATATTTACGCCCATTTTCGCATAATTATTGATTAGGTCGTTCACTATCTGCTCGTAGTTAGGGCTTTTGTGTCTACCGAGAAAAGAAGCAACGACCTTTTCAAAGGATTCCCACGCTGCTGCCTCAACTGATGAGAGTAGTCCTTTGAATTGATTATTGTTGATCAACTTTCTTATTTGTGGTCCAACAAAAATACCTTCCTTTATCTTGGCTTGAGAAATATCTGGAAAAACTGTTTTCAAATAGTCGAATGCTTCGCCTTCTTTGTCCAAAGCCTTAACAAAGTTTTTAATGAGACCGAGCTTGATGTGTAAGGGTGGAAGTATGATTTTCTCTTTCTTGACAAGATGTTATCCACACCAACGGTAAACTCGACTCTTTCCGGCCAATCCTTTCTGACGTAGTGGTCCTTACGAGCTCGGCTATCCCACTTGCAGAGGAAGCAGCAGTGCTTAGTGTAGCCACTTTGTAGACCGCATAGCATTGCAACGACTTTGAGATCAGAACATATTTTCCAATCATGCTCTTCATATTTGATAAATTTGAGTATTTTTTGCATTTCCTCGTAGGTTTCCTTTGTATTTACTGCATGTGCAATCGGGATAGAAGGCTTTTTGTTACCAATATGCAATAATACAGCCTTCAACCTCAGTTTATTGCCGTCTATGAACAATCGCCACTCTTTTGAATCATATGTTTGACCAAACTCTTTGAATAAACCAGGGATGTCGTTGCAGTAGCATATACTGTCTTTCTTGGTATAGTGTTTGGAAAATGGTTCGTGACGAGTTCTACTATATGTCACCTTAACATCGGATGACACAAATTTAAATTGTTGCATACGAGAAGTGTGGATCTCGGCCTTTTCCTTGGATAGTTCCAAATCTCTTATCCAATCATTAAGTTGTGCTTGTGACAGAACGTTTCTTTCGTTTTCCATGCGAAATTCAGTACAACTTGATCCCCCGCACTCAGATGTTACTGTTGACAATGGAACTGGATCCGCAACTGCCGTTGAATGTAGTACTGGTAATGTCACTGTAGGTACGCTAGCATAGGTTACTCCTCTTGATCTTCCAACGCCAGGTACTTTTGTTTGACAAATATAACACTCTATTGAATGGCAAGTAGGTTCTCTCCATATCATTGGTGTATCAAATTTTGTTTGTTCCCACTGAATCAATTCTACTCGACACGATGTACACAAAGTGTTCGGTGTCCATGGTTTCTCAGCATTTTTAGGCTCAATTCCAAAATACTTGGAGTATAAAGTTTTGGTATGATCTGAGAACACTCGTCGTCGCCTTATGATAGTATATTGGCCACACATGAAACAGAACATATCTGGATCCTTATTCCACTCAAATTCTCGCGTCCTTTTACTCATTTTATTTTTTTTTAATAAATCACGGTTTTGAAATTAGACTTATGAACTGAACTATCTCCGGCGAGCCTTGAAGATGTTATGAAGTTTCAAAGCGCATTAACTCATATTTATACTCGGAACA